GTTACAAGCCTCACTTAAGCCTCTGACACCTGTACCAAGGACTACAGGTGTCTAGGCAGTGCTACAGGTCACCAATGCCTAGTAGGAGGCTTGCACAAGCCAAACAGAGTTCTGAGTTCGCCCCCAAAGGCCCAGAATTAGTATGGAAGGAGCCCTTCTTGCCCCCAAACTCTGATTCCCCATCATCATCATCACTTACCAGCAATAACCACCTCCAACAACCAGTTTTCACCTATTTTTTGGCCCAGTTCCTGCTGTTTTTCATCCTGAATTTCAACCAACCAACCATCAAATGTTCCCCAGCACTCTCTCACCACCTGTAACCCAGTTTTCTGAGTGCTTCCAGACCAGTTTTTACCCACCTGAAGTCCCCCTTGGCTTGGAAATAGTACAAGTAGGTAATATCTCCTTGATACTTCAGTTGTAGGCATTGTCTGGGCATAATCCTTCTTCACAAAGGACCAGGTCATCAGGTACATAAAAAATACCCCTGTTTAAACAGGTCCTGATTCATTGGAGGGCACCATAAAAACCCCTGTAACTCAGGCCCCTCCTTTTATAAAAACTTAACAGTTTTTATTATTTCTTTTCTTAATATCAAACACCTCCCCATTTCAAGTGTTACCCACACTTGTACACCATTTTTCTTAGTTTTGGACCTGGTGTAGCTAGAAGATTCTAGCTCTTGGCATCACCCAGGCTGACAGAGGGGGTTTACAATTGGGTTGCATTTTTCCCAGGTGCAATAACATTGCATCCCACCAGGCAATGTTATCGCAGCTGTGGAAAATGTGGCCCAATACTTTTTCTAGTGCAGGCATATGCTTTGCGCATTGTGATTAGAAAGTATTCATCTATATTTTTTGGATTGATATAGACCGAGGTTTTAGCGCTTCCAGAAAGTTCTTCAGAGGGTGAGTGTACCAAGAATATTTCTTGCAAGAGCTAGCTGAGTGCTGCTGTGTTCATCACACTTGGTGATGGTACCAATACTGGATTGTTCACATCAGCACTAGAACTGGCATGGCTCTTTTTAAGTTGCTTATAAACAGAGGGTTGATTGATAGCCTATCACAGAGTGAAATTAAGAAAACAAACCTTAGCAATGACCTTTGGGTCTTTTCGTACCAAGCAACAAACAATCTTTTGGGTCTTGTAGGTCCCTTTGGCAACAAGAAGGAAGTCTTTGGATGTGTCTACCGAGTCAAGTTGTTTTTTTTGGTTACCTGAAAAGTCTCCTCCAAATGGGATGATAACGTTCCAGAAGATATTATGAGAATCCTCTTGGTGTTTGACAAATAAACCAAGAAAGTTGTCCTCACTCTTTAGTCTTGATTCCCCTGATCACTTCAGCTTTAAAAGCATTGAGATCCTTATTGATTACTTTCCAGATGATGACTATCTTCTTGTTTTCTTACTGGATTTTATTGGTGGGAGGAATCGGGGTCTTTGAAGGAACAGCTATATTTCTTATTCTTTTTATTCCTACTCTCTTCCTTGTCAGGAACATAGAGAGTGAACTCAACAGGTTATGAGCCCAGAGCCTACCTAAGCATGACCCGCTTGCAATAGAGACCAGATGAAGTTGTGAATGCTTACTTGTAAGACCAAAACTTCCCCTGTAAGACTACCTAAGGTCACAGGTTCAATTCCCACTCTGATCATGATTTGTTGGGTCTCATTCCCACTTTCACATCATGTAGCAAGGGGGGGTGTTGAGGTGTCTGATAGTCTGCTACCATGATGTATCACTACATGTTGAACCATGAGCACTACCACCCAACAACCCTGGCAGTCACAAGTGTCTGTAGCCTAGTTGGTAAAGGCAGAACTCTAGTATGTGTCTCAGCTTAGCTGAGGTCGTGAGTTTGACTCTCACCAGACACATCTTCATTTTGTCTGTCTCTACAAAACCAGAATGTGTGGGCCTGGGATAGAAGGACAATCTCCACCAAATGTACCATCTTCATTCATTTGGTTGTGAAGCCATTCATATGCTGCTTGTCAAGATGGAGAAACAGGAAAATTGTTGGTCCTAGATGACATTTACAGAATCAAATCAATCAACTTTAGTCCATCCCAAATCAAACAAGGGGAAATGAAGGATAAAATACCACTTGAGATTGTCTTGAGTTTTGGTTTTAAGGATGGCTGAACAGATCAACAAACTTAACAAATTCCCTCTTGCTTTGGATGGCCTGGTGGCCTTGGCTGGTGTGTGGAACACCACTTGCGCAAAGCACAAGCCTCTGAAGGAGGGACTTAGGACAAAGACAAACATACCCACGTGTCATGGTTGGGCACTTTTGGTGTAGCCAACATTTGGACAGCTGCACCTTGCTTATGCCTGGGTCTTGGCAGATCCAGCTGCCAATATTGCCAATGTCCTCATCCAATTTTTTAAGGAAACCCTTGAAAATTGGATTGGGAGGAATTGTTACAAGATTTTGAAAATCCAAAAAATAAGATTTTATTATGTAATCAAGCAACTTGGGAATAGGAATAAAAATCTCAAATCTGAGTTGGGACTCAAATTTCTTATAAAAAATCCTTTCAATGCAACTTTCCAATCTTTTGAAGTGTTTCTCTATGGGTATGAAGGCCCCCCATCTTGGACACATCCAGCCCAATTTTATTCCTGGAATAGTTGTCAGTTCTATTTTCTAGATTTTTGGGCGCAAAAAACAACCAAATAACTCAACTGTGACAGGTGAGCATGTTTTTCTTGGGCTCAAGCCTCTCCTGCACTTCATGTGTTCAATGGAGAGGCTGTACAAGCTTGACATATCAATGGATTGGTTGACAGCACCGTGCTGAGTAGCTCTGTTCTAGATGCAGCCAATGTGGCTGAAGCAGAGATGATGTCACAGATATGCACAGCAATTAGGCTTTTTCAGCTGCAGAAACTTTTTCCATCTGTGTGCAAACTTTTTTTTTTTCAAAAAAACAGCAAGCATATGCAGAACTGCTGTAGCTGTGGTGCAATTGGAGCCAACTTCGGACTCTGTGAAATGTGATTGGGGGCTGGGAAACGCGTGTCTACTTCCCCCCGGACCTCCCGCTTAGCACCCCCGGTCGAAGCGGTGTTTTGGGTCTGGGCGATCCAATCACGCGTCACAAGCAAGCATCGACGCGACAGACTACATCAAGACAACTTCTCATAGGAAAACATCAACTGCAACCACGTCCAACTACATAGGCCACCAGCACCATCTAACCGGAGTCTGGAAAGAAGATGTTCGCAAGAAAAGATCTTCAGACGATCCCACCAGTCCACCAGCGTACAAGCACCACCACCAACCGCAAGATCATAAAGCATGAGGGACCACTGACAACCAATCATGATCCTAACCCACTCAAATTGAAATACCCACATCGATTGAATTTTTACGATAAACCTCCGGATAGCGAAGTGACCATAGAAGAATTTGAAACCTGGGCCATCGATCGCTTGAAAGGTCAGTCAGTCTACATACAGTCATCCACGATTCGCTAGAAACTAATCTACTA